GTTTGGTCCTTGCCAAAATGAGTTTTGCCATCTAAATGGAGCTATTCTAGAAGCCACCACCAGGGGTCCCCAAGGTACATCATCAAACTGGCAGAGTTGATGCCTGCTAGCTAGGGCTGACATGCTTTGGGAGATCAAATGAACCACCTCCTTCCCCTTTTCTGGACCAGTTCAAAGACTCCTGGGGAGAGAAAACAATAAACATAATGTACCACCATGCCAGGTACAACTCCAGCACTGAGACGGATCAGAAGCCAAGATGAGCAATGTTGAATTTCGACTCTCAGAAAAGAGCCCTTCATGCTAAAGGGCAGTACACTTTCCAAATCATTGTATAAAAGTTTTAGCCCAACTCAGAGAATCCTGTGAACTTTTATGCCCTGGCTGACTGAACCTATTGTCCCAAGTAGCTAGGATTATGGAATTGAATATGTGTGCCTGGCTCTGTCTCTGAAATATTGCCACAATATTCTTGATTACTCACTTTGTCCCAAGCCTACAGCAAATTGTGTGTGTGTGTGTGTGTGTGTGTGTGTGTGCGTGCGTGTTAGCACTGCGATATGAACTCAGGGCTTGGGAATTATCCCTTAGTTTGTCCATTCAGGGCCGGTGCTCTACCACTTGAGCCACACTCCACTTCCAGCTTTTTGCTAGTGAACTGGAGATAAAAGTCTCACAGACGGGGCTGGGAAGGTGGCTCAGTGGTAGAGCGCTTGCCTTGCATGCCTGAGGCCCTGGGTTCGATTCCCCAGCACCACATAAGCAAAAAGAAAAAAGCAGGAAGTGGTGCTGTGGCTCAAGTGGTAGAGCACTAGCCTTGAGCTGAAGAGCTGAGGGACAGTGCCCAGGCACAGAGTTCGGCCCCACCACCGGACCCCCCCCCCAAAAAAAAAGAAAAGTTTAATGCAAAAGTCTCACAGACTTTCCTGGCCGGATTGGCTTCAAATCGTGATCCTCTGATCTCAGCCAGCCACCCTGAGTAGCCAGGATTGCAGGTGTGAGCCACTGGTACCCTGAAAGTTTCTTATAGTAAACTGGAAAAATGCCCATAAATTCCTCTTTATAACGTGAAGCGGCTATGTCTATATTTCTACCCCTGTAAATCTGTCATAATCCTGTAACACACACACACACACACACACACACACACACAGAGGAATATGGTAGAGGGCTGAATTTGTTCAAAGTACACTGTGTGTAGGTCTGGAACTATCACAATGAAACACCATCTTATGACCAATTATTGATGTCTTCCTATGCATGGTGAAGGCCACCTAATTCATCTCCTTGCTATGACCCCAAGACAAAGGACCCCAGACGGGGGGGAGCCATGTTCAAATGTGAATCATACTCCTCTGCTTAAACCCTAAAGACATGACAGTGGGCTAAAAGCTCCTGCCCTCCAATGCCGTCCATCTTCCACCAGCTCTCCAATTAACCTCTCGAGTGTGGTTGAAACACATATCATTCAAACCAAGATACCTTCCATCATGAAAAGAGGCACTATTAAAATTATACCACATGCTGATGCCAATAGCTCATGCCTGTAATCCTAGCTACTCAGAAGGCTGAGATCTGAGGATCGTGGTTCAAAGCCAGCCTGGGCAGTAAAGTCCCCATAAGACTCTTATCTCCAATTAACCACTCAAACACTGGAAGTGACACTGTGGCTCAAAGTGGTAGAGCGCTAGCTTTGGGCCAAAGAGCTCAGGGACAGCGCCCAGGCCCTGAGTTCAAGCCCCACGACGACCACCACCACCACCACCAACAACAACAACAAAGTAGGAAAGAAGTTTGATCTCTAGGATTGAAGGAGGAGGAAGAAGAAAAAGAAGAAGGAGGAAGACGCTTTATTTGGGCTCAAGGTTTCAAAGGTTTTAGCCCGTGGTTAAAAACAACACTGGGGACCCGTGTTGAAGTTCTGGGACTTGTGTGGAGCGCTGGACACAGAGTAAAGCTGCTCACCTCCTGCCTACCAGAGAGCTGAGAGGAAGAAAGGGCTGAGCGTCAGATCTCCCTTCCAAAGGCCCGCCTCCCCCCAGTGACCTCACTTCCTTCTACTTGGCCCTAGCTCTTAACAGGTTCTCCCTGCTCTCAATCATTATATGAGCTTTGGACCAGGCCTTTCATAGATCAGCCCTTTGGTGGACCCAACTTAACGTTGCTACCTTCCCCTAAGCCAGCCAGCAAACCACAGCCTAGTCTCTATCTGTATTATATTCCTTTTTTTCTTTTTGAGGGTGGGGAAATGCTGAGAATCAAACCTGGGTCTTTTCAAATGCTAGGCCAAGGACTCTACCACCGAGCTACACCCTAACTCCCCCAAGGCCTAGTAAGTTTTTCTCACCCTCTAGAAATTAGCACCAAACGAACATCTTTCTCCACCTATGTATTTGTGCAGGGTCTGTCTCCCTGCACAAAGACTGTTGGTAGGATATCCACCCTGGTGTATTCTGAGCACAGACAACAATTCCTAGCATATAGTAGCTGCTAAATAAATCTTCGAAAGAGTGGGTGGAGAAAGAGAGAGAGAGAGAAATGATTTCTTTATGGGTTGCTTAGACACTCACTTCTTCCTAGGTAGGTGGCCGTCCATCTTCTCAAGTGGCTTTTGATCAGGACCAAAGTGCCAGCCAGGTAAGCTCTAGTGACAGACCCTGCACCCAGCCAGTCCTCTGTCCTGATCATCCTGTTATTGGCTAGCCAGCCTCCATTGTGAGGTAGCTCTGGCTTCGTCCATGTCTGGAGCCACTGAGTCACTGAGCCTGGGGTGTATTTGTTTTCTCCCAGTCAAGACTGGTCTCAACTGGCACACGGTCACCCTGGGGAGTCCTGGCAGGGGTCTAAGCCATTGCAAAAGGGGAATCCGGGGGTGATCTTGAGATGAGACTGTCCTGAGCGTTGAGAGAGCCAGGTGAACTTCTTACCACCAGCTTGGCCTACCCATCCCCCACTCCCCCCTACCCATCCACCCCCAATCACATTGATTGGGCTTCAGCCAGACAGGCCCCAGATACCCTCAGAGAGCAGGAGCCAGGATCGTAGCATCTCAAGATGGGCACTGATGGTCTCCTCCACACTGAATGTATTTATTCTGGATTGTTCTAGCTGCCCTGCTGCCCTTTGGCCCCCTGAAGAAGAAATCATGCTGAAGAAATCACTGCTGGAGAATGAACACCGTGATGGCTTGAACCCAGACTGTGGATCTCAGAGCCCCTTGGAAAGCAGCAGCAGCAGCAATAATGACACCCCGGACAATGTGGCTCCCCCAGAGGACACAGATATGCTATCGTAAGTGGCACCCAGATCCTCAGGTACCCTGCCATGTGGGGAGGGGGGGTACTCACTGATGCAAGAGGAACCTTCAAAGCCCAGTGGCTGGTTGGGTGGTTCACACCTGTCATCATCCCAGCTACTCAGGAGGCTGAGATCTTGAGGATCGTGGTTCGAGGCCAGCCCGGGCAGGGAAGTTCATTGAGACTCTAATCACCCGATGAACTAAAACAACTTTCCTTCTTCTAATAGTATCCTTCTGCCTCTCCACCACAGGCTGATGCAAACCTTGATCCATTTATTGAAAAGTAATATTGGCACAGGGCTCCTGGGCCTTCCTTTGGCTATGAAAAATGCCGGCTTGTTGGTAAGAGACCTCTGTTGGCTTATTTGGAGCGGGTGTGGGGGGAAGCGGGGGTGACAGGTCTCTAAGGCCTTTGCACTCTTGCGGATCCGATCAGGAGTTGGGAGGGGGTGTTCTACAATGAGAAATATGCCCACTAGGTGCCCGTGGCATGCCTGTTGTCCTAGCTACACAGGAGGCTGAGATCTGAGGATCAGGGTTCGAAGCCAGCTCAGGCAGGAAAGTCAGTGAAACTGTTACCTCCAATAAACTTTTAAATAGCCCAAGTGGAGCTTGTGGCTGAATGGTTAGAGTGCTAACCTTGAGCAAAAAAGGCTCAGGGACAGGGCGCAGGCCATGACTTCAAACCCTAGTATCATCACACAAACACACACACACACACACACACACACACACACACACACATACACATCTGTCAATCACCTGCAGCCAATCAGCATCTGTGGCAGGGGCGGGTCTTTCCTCATAAAGCCTCCCTGCACAACCAATGGGAATTCAAAGCTCCAGGGTTCTGTCTCGCCCCTCCTCATTCATTCCCAGCAGCCCCAGCAACCCCATGGTATGGGAGCCAGTGACTAAGAAGCCAGGCATGATAGATCACACCTGCAATCCCAACTACTGTCCGCCCCCTCCCACCCCCATGCCCCCCCCCAGGCAGGAGGATCATAAGTTCAAGGACAGCCTTGGTAAAGTTAGTGAGACCCTAGCCCAGTAACACCTATCCAAAGAAAGCCAAGCATCTGATGGCGCACACCTGTAATCCTAGCTACTCAGGAGGCTGAGATCTGAGGATGGTGGTTTGGAATCAGTCCAGGGAGACAAATCTGAGAGACTCTCATCTCCAATTAGCTGGGGAAAAAAAAGCCAGACGTGCAGATGGGGTTCAAATGGTAGAGTGTCAGCCTTGAGCACAAAAAAGAAACCCCCCAAAACAAGCAAGAGTAGTATAAGGCCCTGAGTTCAAACTCCAGTACTGGCACAAGAAAGAAAGATGAGAGAGAGAGAGAGAGAGAGATGTGTGGGAGAGGAAGAGAGAGAGAGAGAGGTGGGAGATGGGGGGAGAAGGAAGGGAGGTAGGGAGGGAAAGGAAGGAAGGAAGGAAGGAAGGAAGGAAGGAAGGAAGGAAGGAAGGAAGGAAGGAAGGAAGGAAGGAAGAAAAGGAAGGAGAGAAAGGAAAAGAGAAAGGAAAGGGACAGGGAAAGGGACAAAGGGAAAGCAAATGGGTAGAACAGAAGCTCTGGGCATGCGCGCTCTGGGCAGTGCTAGGGCAGAGCGGGCACATGCTAAGTCTGTGGGTCGCGCCCTAGCTCTCTACTCCTCCTCTCTCCAGGTGGGGCCCATCAGCCTGCTGGCCATCGGGGTCCTCACAGTGCACTGCATGGTCATCCTGCTGAACTGCGCTCACCACGTCACCCAGAGGTCAGAGTCCTGCCTCTCTATCACCAATAGCCATCAGCGATGGGAGGGCTGTGAGCTTTTTTCTTGGCCATTGACCCCATGAACAGGGGCTGATGTCCAGGCCTCCAGCCCTATGGCTGCCCTGGATCTCACAGCGGAGAGGGGTTAGAAAGAATCCCAAGACTCTTCGTGCAGACCCAACTGCAGGGAGCCAGCTAGGAGATCGAGTTAGGCCCCTTGCATTCTCTGAGCCAAACACAACGTCTGGTGACTCACACTGATAATCCCAGCCACTCAGGAGGCTGAGATCTGAAGACTGCAGTTCAAAGCCAGCCCAGGCAGGAAAGTCCAGGAGACTCTTATCTCCAGGAAACCACAAGTGGCGCTGTGGTTCAAGCGGTAGAGCGCTAGCCTTGAGCACAAAAGCTCAGGGACAGCGCCCAGGTCCTGAGCTTAAGCCCCACCACTGACAAAAAGAAAAAGTAACAAAATACTTGCTGTTAACACACAAATATATGACAACTCGATGGTTCTGGCATAGATTAACCAAAATGTCTTATGGTACAACTTGTTTCTCCTATCTCCCTAGATTGCAGAAGACCTTTGTGAACTACGGAGAGGCCATGATGTACAGCCTGGAATCCTGTCCCAGCCCGTGGCTTAGGACCCACTCCATGTGGGGAAGGTAGCGATCATAGGTGCATCTGTCACCATGACAACAGCAATAATCCTCATGCTCCTTCCCAGAAATTCTCAAACAGCATAGGGACTCCTTCAACAAGTTCCATTTCCCAACCATTGGCTCCCTAAGAGGTAACCGTTGCTGGGCGCTGGTGGCTCATGCCTATAATTCCAGCTACTGAGCATCTGCGGATCATGGTTCGAAGCCAGCCTAGGTAGACAAATCAGAGAGCCTTTGATCTCCAAGTAACCAACAAAGAACTAGCTGGAAACAGAGCTCAAGTGGCAGAATGCCAACTTTGAGCGAAAAAAGCAGAGACAGTGCCCAGCTCTGAGTTCAAGCACCAGGACCTGCATACACACACACACACACACACACACACACACACACACACACACACACACACACAAAATCACTGAAGTCTAATGAGTAAATATTACTTTAGATTTTTTCATTCCCTACTTATATATCAATATATGTATGCAGATGAGCATGTAATTTGCTTTATATTTTCTTCTCTTTTTTTCTTTTTTTTTGGGGGGGCGGGGGGGAAAGGGGTGTGGTCCCGGGTCTTGAACTCAGGGCCTGGGCATTGTTCTTGGGCTATATTCCTCAAGGCTAGCACTCTACACTTTAACCAAAGCTCCACTTCCAGGTTTTTGGTGATTATTGGAGATAAGAGTCTCACCAACTCTCTTGCCCTAGCTGGCTTTGAACCACAATCCTCAGATATCAGCCCCCTGAATAGCTAGGAAGACAGGCGTAAGCCACTGGCACCTGATCCTTTATATTTTCTTATACATTACTTTCCCAATGTGGATGTATGACACAGTACTTGGTCATTTCCTACATGGTGAATGCCAAGATTGTTTCTTTGCTTGATAAAAAGTTAATAGAGGTGAGAAAATTCAATTATATTCAATGTACAGTATGTAAAACCTGAACTATGTAACTTCAGGGAGAATGAAGGAAAGGGTGACATTGATCAAAGTGTATTATACTCAGAACCTGACAGGATGATGATGATGATGATGATGATGATGATGATAGAGCTGGGCACTGGTAGGTCATGCCTGAAATCTTAGCTACTCAGGAGGCTGAGATTTGAGAATCAAGGTTTCAAAGTCAGCGAAAAAGCCAGAAGTGGAGCTGTGGACCAAGTGGTAGAGCACCAGCCTAAAGCAAAAGAGCTCCCAAGAGCCAAGTACTGGTGGCTCACGCCTGTAATCCTAACTACTCAGAGGCTGAGATTTGAGGATCCAGGTTCAAAGCCAGCCCAAGCAGGAAAGTCCATGAGACTCTTATCTCCAGTGAACCACCAGAAAACTGGAAGTGGTGCTGTAGCTCAAAGTGGTAGAGCACTAGCCTTGAGTAAACCATGCTCGATGACAGCACCCAGGATCTGAGTTCAAGCCCCAGGACTGACAAAAAAAAAAATGCTGTACTGGGAAGGTGGCTCAGTGGTAGAGCGCTTGCCTTGCATGCATGAGGCCCTGGGTTCGATTCCTCAGCACCCCATAAGCAGAAAAAGCCAGAAGTGATGCTGTGGCTCAAGTGGTAGAGTGCTAGCCTTCAGCTGAAGAGCTGAGGGACAGCGCCCAGACCCAGAGTTCAGGCCCCACGACTGACAGGAAAAAAATGTGCCCAACTCAGAACTGGCAATAATAATAATAATAATACAATATTACTAGTATGCAAATAGGTTTATGCCTTAGAACCTCTGATCCTTTCTATATTCCTTTACACCCTTCTTCAGCTCCTTTTCTGGGACTCTATCAATGATTGATTTTCCAGTCAGCAGCCCCTGTGGTTATCAGACAAATGAGGTCATAATCAATTTCCTATGACACTGTAAGGAAATATCTAGGGCAGGAGTGGCCTTAGAGATCCACGCATCCACGTTCATCAGAATGCAGAATAATGAAACTCAGAGAGGACAGCAATGTGTCCTTTGAGATCCCACAGGAATTCAGTGGCCAAGCCAAGACTGGAATCCAAAATATCTCCTTTCCACCCTGCCATTTCTTTGGAGATCCAGCGACTGAGGAGTTAGAAACACTTGGGAAAGCATACCCAATATATCCAATTAATTAATGTACCCAATGAATTGTCATTTTTACCACACTAAGAGACAGTAGAGAGTTTGATTACAAATTTCCCAGGCTGGGCACCAGGGGCTCACACCTGTAACCCTAGCTACTCAGAAGACTGAGATCTGAGGATTGCTGGTTCAAAGCCACCTCGGGCATATCAATATCTGTATGCAGATGAGCATATGTAATTTGCTTATATAAGAGTGCATGAGACTCTTATCACCAATGAACCAGCAAAAAGTTGGAAATCATGGCTCAAGTAGTAGATCCCTAGCCAAAAAATAAAAAAGCTCCAGGACAGTGCCCAGGCCCTAAGTTCAAGCCCCAAGACCAGCACAAGAAATACACATATAAGGGCTGGGAAGGTGGCTCAGTGGTAGAGCGCTTGCCTTGCATGCCTGAGGCCCTGGGTTCGATTCCTCAGCACCACATAAACAAAAAGAAAAAAGCCGGAAGTGGCGCTGTGGCTCAAGTGGTAGAGCGCTAGCCTTGAGCTGAAGGGCTCAGGGACAGCACCCAGCCCAGAGTTCAAGCCCCACGACCGGACCCAAAAAACAAAAAAAAGAAATACACATATAAATAAAATATAATGTTGAGGTTTGTTTTCTCCCTGTCTCTACCTCTTCTTTTCCAGGTACACAGTCAGCTTTATGTTAATTGTCACACAGCTGGGCTTCTGCAGCGTTTATTTTATGTTCATGGCAGACAATTTACAACAGGTAAAGAGGCCTCTTCTGGATAGATAGGGATAAAGCAGAGCAGAGTCCCCAGCTAGGATCCAATTAGCAAAGGCATAGCATTTGAATTGTGGGAGGGGGTATGGCTTTGTTTGTTTCTACTGCCAGAGTAGACCCCGGAGTCCTGGGAATCACATTCAAAATGGACCATTAAAAAGTTAGAGCAAGGGCTGGGAAGGTGGCTCAGTGGTAGAGCGCTTGCCTTGCATGCAAGAGGCCCTGGGTTCGATTCCTCAGTACCACAGAAGCAAAAAGAAAAAAGCCGGAAGTGGCGCTGTGGCTCAAGTGGTAGAGCGCTAGCCTTGAGCTGAATTGCTGAGAGACAGCGCCCAGGCCCAGAGTTCAGGCCCCACGACCGGACCCCAAAAAAAAGAAAAACCAAAATGTTAGCGCAAGGTGCTGGAAATGTGACTTAGTGGTCGAGAGCTTGCCTAGCATGCATAAAGCCCAGGGTTCAATTCCTCAGTACCACATATACAGAAAAAGCTGGAAGTGGTACTGTGGCTCAAGTGGTAGAGTGCTAGCCTTGAGCAAAAAGAAGCTCAGAGACAGTTCCCAGACCCTGAGTTCCAACCCCAGGACAGGCAAAATAAAATAAAATAAAATAAGATATAAAGATCATTAAAAATATTTGAATTAAAACAATTTTAATTTAAAATTAATTTAAATAAGATTAGTTATTTTAATTATTAATCATTCAAATTAATTGTTGAAATTACTTCTGGTCGATTCATTGGGATTGCAGCGGAAGCAGGCACCCAGTGCTTTTAGCGACCTTGCATCTCATTACTCTCCGTAGATTGTGGAGGAAGCTCGCACCACCTCCAACACATGCCAGCCCAGACAGATCCTGGTGCTGGGCCCCATCCTGGACATTCGCTTCTACATGCTGTCCATCCTGCCTTTCCTGGTGCTGATGGTGCTCATTCAGAACCTCAGGGTGCTGTCCATCTTCTCCACGCTGGCCAGCGTCACCACCCTGGGAAGCATGGCTCTGATCTTTGAGTATATCATCCAGGTCTGTGGCTCCTGATCGGGTCGGTGGAAGAGAGGGCGGTGAGGGGTACAGGGACTCTGGGACTCCAGGAGAGGAAGATGAACACCTGCTCTGAGCAGGCCCTGCAAGATGGCATCTAGAAACAACAACAAAAAAAGCTCTTTATCACCAGGCATTGGTGGCTGATGCCTTTCATCCTAGCTACTCAGGAGGCTGAGATCTGAAGATCGCAGTTCAAAGCCAGCCCTGACAAGAATAGTCTGTGAGACTCTTATTTCCCATCAACCACCAAAAGGCTGGAAGTGGAGCTGTGGCTCAAGTGGTAGAGCACCAGCTTTGATGGGGGGGGGGGGACTAAGGGAGAGTATCCTAGGCCCTTAGTTCAAATCCCAGTACACACACACACACACACACACACACATACACACAAGCTATTCATCATTATTAACATCTTTCTCATCACCACTACCACTGGGTTGAGTCACAGTGACTCACTCAGTAATTCAGAATTCCTTCTGTGTTTTGAGACCTTGTGCAAAGGGCTGGAGATTTACTGACAACATTCATGTATGCAAATAAATGGGATGTCCACTCTCCCGCAGGCTGCAATCAGCCAAGGACATTAAGGCTGATTCAGTAACCCACAAACATGGTAGCACATGGATGATGAAGCCAAAGACGAATTGGAGCTAATTAATGCCACGTCTTTAACTTACAGAGCCTTCACCACTGTCCTGTTTTGGGAGAACTATCTTTTTTTCTTTCTTTTCTTTTTCTTTTTTGGCTAGTCTTGGGGCTTGAACTCAGGGCCTGGACACGGTCCCTGAGCTTCTTTTGCTCAAAGCTAGCACTCTACCACTTGAGCCACAGCACCACCACCAGTGTTTTCTGTATATGTGGTACTGAGGAATCAAACCCAGGGCTTCATGCATGCTAGGCAAGCGCTCTACCACTAAGCCACCTTCCCAGCCGTGCAAGAACTATCTTGACTGCCAGTTTATAGATAAGAAGTTGTTCAACAGAGAGCCCATTTTTTGGTGTGGTTTTTGTTCTTTTAAATAATTTCACTCACTTTGTCTCCCTAGCTCCTATTCTGGTGCCTAGCTATAACAACAATTTAAAAAACAAACGTAAAATTAAAATTTTAAAAAACTAAGGAGTTAGGTGTCACTGGCTCATGCCTGTAATCCTAGCTACTCAGGAGGCTGAGATCTGGGGACCACAGTTCAAAGCCAGCCCAGGCAGGAAAGTACATGAGACTTATCTCCAATGAATTTAAAAAAAAAAAAAAAAAAAAAAAAGCCAGAAGAGGAGCTGTGACTCAAGTGGCAGAGTGCCAGCCTTGAGCATAGAAGCTCAGGGACAGCGCCCAGGCCCTGCCTGGCACAAAAATAAATGTTAGCTGGGCACCCATGGCTCACGCCTGTAATCCTAGCTACTTAGGAGGCTGAGATCTGAGGATCACGGTTCAAAGCCAGCCAGGGCAGGAAAGTCTGTGAGACTCATCTCTTAATGAACCACCAGAAAACTGGAAGTGGCGCTGTGGCTCAAGTGGTAGAGTGCTAGCCTTGAGCTGAAGAGCTGAAGGACAGCGCCCAGGCCCAGAGTTCAAGCCCACAACTGACATAGATAGATGGATAGATAGATAGATAGATAGATAGATAGATAGATAGATAGATAGATAGATAGATAGATAGATAGATAGATAGATAGATAGATAGATAGATAGATAAAGTTAATTAATTTTAAAAAAGAAGGAGCCTTAAAGTGCTCTAAACACTGTGGAGGCCTGGTGGAGTTTGGTATGACCTCAACATGTGACCTTCCTCTGCCTCTTCCAGGGGATCCCCCATCCTGGGAACCTACCGCTGGTGGCCAACTGGAAGACCTTCTTGCTATTCTTCGGGGCAGCCATCTTTGCCTTTGAAGGCGTGGGCATGGTGAGCTGAACAGTACCAGTGGGCAGTGCTGTGGAGAGCTGGTTGCAATTTTCTCTTTTTTCTTTTTGTTTGTTTTTGCCAGTCCTGGAGCTTGAACTCAGGGCCTGGGCACTGTCCCTGAGCTTCTTTTGCTCAAGGCTAGCATTCTACCACTTGAGCCACAGCGCCACTTCTGGCATTTTCTGTGTATGTGGTACTGAGGAATGGAACCCAGGGCTTCATGCATGCTAGGCAAGCACTCTACCACTAAACCACCTTTCCAGCCCTGGTTGTGATTTTTCAATGTCTACATTGTGATCTTCCTTCCTTCCTTCCTTCCTTCCTTCCTCCCTCCCTCCCTCCCTCCCTCCCTCCCTTCCTTCCTTCCTTCCTTTCCTCCTTCCTTCCTTCCTGCTCTCTCTCTCTCTCTCTCTCTCTCTCTCTCTCTCTCTCTCATATTCTCCCCCTCCAGGTTCTACCTCTCAAAAACCAGATGAAGAACCCACAGAAGTTTTCCTTCGTTCTCTACCTGGGGATGTCCCTTGTCATCTCCCTCTACATCTGCCTGGGGACACTAGGCTATATGAAGTTTGGGTCGGACACAAGGGCCAGCATCACCCTCAACTTACCCAACTGCTGGTATGTCCCTGTCACCCTGGGGGCGGGAGTGGGAGGGGAGCGGTGGGGGAGAGAGAGGGAGAGGACCTGAGAACTGAGCCTTAGCAGCACAGCAAACATGTCCTACCGTTGCCATTGGCAACCAACATTCAGCGGGAGGGTTAGGATTCACTATAATAGATGGAAGGCATATTATAGACAAGGTCTCTATGATAATCCAGGCCCTGTGTAGTATCTCATTTAATTGTTTTAACCAGAAGCCAAAAGAGTCAGCAATGGTTTTTCTGTTCAAGTCCTGAGGCTTGAACTCAGGGCCTGGGCACTGTCCCTGAGCTGCTTCTTACTCAAGGTGAGCACTCTACCACTTGAGCCACAGCGTCACTTCTGGCTTCTTCTGTGTATGTGGTACTGAGGAATCGAACCCAGGACTTCATGCATGCTAGGCAAGCACTCTACCACTGAGCCACCTTCCCACTGAGCCCGTCTGGCTCTTCCAGGAAGCATTTTGAGGCTGACACGAAATGCGCATGGCCAGTGCCAGCTGCTCTGGCCAGAGCTGTACTAGTATGGAGCAATTGGGGCACCAGTTGGGCAAGCATGCATGATGCATGATCGAAGCTAAAGAGCCTTGCATCCGAGCTCTTCTCTGACTTGGGACACGTCTCCTCACATCCAACTTGTGTACAATGAGGAATGATCCTAACCTGTTTGCATTACGGTCCAGTAATAAGTAATCCCAGCTGGAGAGGCCTGAGACTCACCCCTGTCATTCCAACTGTCAGGAAGCTGAGATCTGAGGATCCAGATTCAAAGCCAAACTGGGCAGGAAAGTCCATGAGACACTTCTGTCTAATGAATCACCAAAAAGCCGGAAGTGGAGTTGTGGCTCAAGTGGTAAAGCACTACCCTTGAGATAAAGAGCTCAGGGACAGCATTCAGGCCCTGAGTTCTAGACCCTGGACTGGCACCGAATAAAAAAGCAATCCTAACCCCAAAGCCACACCTAATTGCTTACATCTCTGCTCATCCCTCCTTCCATGAGGCATGAGCTGAGCTCAGAGGGACCGGGCAGCCTCTCCAGGCGGCTCAGTGAGTCATATCCTTGTGTAAAACTGGCAAAGCTTCGGCCTGCCTCCTCCGGAGCGCCCAGAGCAAGGCCAAGGCCAAAGCCCGAGAGCCCACCACAGCCTCCGGACACGTGGTGGACTGCATTGCTTTAATAATATACAAAAATGAGCTGGGCACCAGTGGCTCACACCTGTAACCCCAGCTACTCAAGAGGCTGAGATCTGAGGATTGCGGTTCAAAGCCAGCCCAGGCAGGAAAGTCCATCAGATACTTCTCTCCAATGAATCGCCAAAAAGCCGGAAGTAGAATTGTGGCAGAAGTGGTAGAGACCAGCCTGGAGCACAAAAGCTAAGGGATAGTGTCCAAGCCCTGAGGTTCAAGCCTCAGGACCAGCACAATATATAAGCATCTTAAATATATATATATATATATATACATATATATATATATAATATACAAATATTACATATATTAGCTGTTTTATATATATATTTATATATATTTATATTTATATATATGTTTATATACATATGTTTTATGTATATGTTTGATATATAATAGGGCATAATATGTAATGTTATAATTATATGATATAATTATAACTCATATCATACAATATATAACTATATATTGATATATAACATATATTATTTATATAATTTGTATTTATACTATATGTATATATTATATATAATATATATACATGTATATAACATTTACATATATTAGAGATATAATATAATAACATAATACATTTATTAGAATATATGCTATTATTATTATAATATGTTATGATAAATTTAAATTTAGATACTGTTATATTAAAATTCATATATAAATACATACTATAATTATATTTTTTTGTACATAATATTTTGGGCTTTTGGTGTGTTTTTTGTTGGTGGTGGTGGTCGTGGGGCTTGAACTCTGGGCCTGGGTGCTGTCCCTCAGCTCTTTAGCTTGAGGCTAGCGCTCTACCACTTGAGCCACAGTGCCACTTCCAGCTTTTTTCTGCTTATGTGATACAGAGGAATCGAACCCAGGGCCTCATGCATGCGAGGCAAGCGCTCTACCATTGGGCCACCTTCCCAGCCCCATGGATATAATAGTTTATATGTAAGTGCTTAGGGAGTCAGTCCCCTTGGAGCATTGGCTGTGGTTCTGTGTCCCCGCAGCCTGGGGCTTGCGGGTGAATGCAGCGTTCACTTGGTAAAACTGCAGTGCTGTAAAACTAGCCAGATCTTCCCAGCCTCACCCGCCTCCGCTATGCCCTGGAAATGACCAGCTGACATCAAGGATGTGGAATGTTTTTGAAGTTGTGCCTTATTTTACACAAGTCAGGTGTTAGCCAGCTATGTTAGTAAATGAGCTTCCTCTTGGCCTCCTTGAACTGAGCCCACTCCTTCCTGGCATCTAGCCAGAAATCCTAAGTACCAAGCGGGATCGATTTGCCCCTACTAGGGGGATCCTACTCATCAGAAATTTCCACAAAGAAACCCTAAAAAAATAATAATTATTATCCCTTCCCAATAATACCACCAGGCTAGATGCAGTGTGTCCCGCCTGTAATCCCACCACTTGGGAGGCAGAGATTAGGAGGCTCGTGGTTGGAGGCCAGCCTGGGCAAAAAGTTTGTGGGACACCATCTCAACCAATAAGCTGGGTGTGGTAGTGAACGCCTGTCCTCTCAACTCCAAAGGGGAATAGGCAGAAAACACAATCTGAGACCAATCCTGGGGGGTGGATGGGGAGGGAGGAACAGCAAGACCCCCTCTCTGGAAGAAATGTATCTAAGGCAAAAGAATGAGGCAGTGTGGCTCAAGGGTTAGAAGACCTGCCCAGCAAGTGTGAGGCTGAGTTCAGACATGAATACTGCTGGGCGCCGGTGGCTCAGGCCTGTCATCCTAGCTACTCAGGAGGCTGAGATCTGAGGATCGTGGTTCAAAGCCAGCCTGGGCAGGAAAGTCCGTGAGATTCTTATCTCCAATAAACCACCAGAACCCTGGGTTCGATTCTTCAGTACCACATACACAGAAAAAGCCAGAAATGGGGGTTGTGGCCTGAATGGTAGAGTGCTAGCCTTGAGCAAAAGCAGCTCAGGGACAGTGTCCAGGCCCTGAGTTCAAGTCCCAGTGCTGGCCAAAAAAGAAAAAAAAAAAAGAAATGAGCCAGGTACTGGTGGCCCTTACCTGTAATCCTAGCTACTCAGGAGGCTGAGATATGAGGATCGTGGTTCAAAGCCAGCCTGGGCAGGAAAAATCCATAAGACTCTTATCTCCAATAAACCACCAGAAAACTGGAAGTGGCGCTGTGGCTCAAATGGTAGAGCGCTAGCCTTGAGCTGAAGAGCTGAGGGACAGCGCCCAGGCCCAGAGTTCAAGCCCCACGACCAATACACACACACACACACAAAATGAAGTCTCATCAACTTTCCTACCCAGGTTAGTTTTGAACCACGATCCTCAGCTCTCAGCCTCCTGAGTAGCTAGGACGACAGGCATGCGCCACCAGTGCCTGGCTACATTTACGACTTTTGTCCTGGGAAAGTGATCTATGCAGGTAGGACCTTTAAAACAAAAAACAAACTGAAAGAAGAAAAAGGCCAAGTCGAGTCCCAGACCTCTTATCCTGTCACTTTAGAATGAGCCGCCGCAGGCTTCAGGACCCGGAGTCCCTGGGGCCTCGTTGGTCAGAGAGCTGGAACCCCAAGACAGGACCAGCTTCTGCACAGCACCGCGAACAGCATCTCCCTGTCCGCCCGCAGGCTCTACCAGTCGGTGAAGCTGATGTACTCCGTGGGGATATTCTTTACCTACGTGCTGCAGTTTCACGTTCCAGCCGAGATCATCATCCCCTTCGCCCTGTCCCACGTGTCCGAGAGCTGGGCGCTGTTCGTAGACCTGACGGTCCGCACCGCTCTGGTGTGCCTCACCTGTGAGTTACAAGAAGGTGCTCTATGCCCAGTACCATGGCAGGAAGCCACTCACGGGAGGGGGGAGGGCAGGGGGGAGGACCTACCCCAGCCCTATCATTTTTCAATCAACTATTCTACTCAGGGAGGAATGAGATTTGAGGATGGAGGTTCGAAGCCAGCTTGGGTGTTAAAAGTCTATGAGATTTTTTTTTTTTTTTTTTTTTTGTGGCCAGTCCTGGGACTTGAACTCAGGGCCTGAGCGCTGTCCCTGAGCTGCTTTTGTGCAAGGCTAGCACTCTGCCACTTAAAACCACAGCGCCACTTCTGGCTTTTTCTGAGTATGTGGGACTGAGGAATGGAACCCAGGGCTTCATGCATGCTAGGCAACTGGTCTACCACTGAGCCGCCTTCCTGGCCCCTTAAAGAGTCTTTTGAAAAAGGAACAATGGAAATGTGTTATTCGGAGGCACACCAGTTCTTATAAGCCGGGTGGAGAAAGGAAGTTCAGACTCTCTTTGGTCTCTGGGAAAGCCAGAAGAGGAAATGATGACAGCATCACCAGGTCATTATTCAACAATGTTGTCACTGGGAATAAAGATCTGCTAGAGTCTGCCTTCAGAGGCCTCATTGTAGCTGCTGCCGCCATCAAGTCTACCCAGCCTAACTCGGTGTGTGCCATGCCAAGAACGGGCAGGTGGTTGGCATGGGAACAGTCTCAGAAACACTGTTCACGCCTTGTATGGGAGAAGGCAAACTATGAATGACTTAGACACAATCTACATGAGCTTTCCATGATGTTTAAACCTGGAGTTGAAGAGAGCAGAAATCTCCAGTGCCATCCATCCATATGCCTCGGGCTCTAGGTGGTGTGTTTTGATTTGGGTTTTGGTTTCATGGTGGGGCTTGAACTCTGGGCCTGGGCACCTGTCCCTCAGCTCTTCAGCTCAAGGCGAGCGCTCTACCACTCGAGCCACAGCGCCACTTCCGGTTTGCTGGTGGTTCGTTGGCAATAAGAGTCTCATGGACTTTCCTGCCCAGGCTGGCTTTGAACTGCGATCCTCGGATCTCAGTCTCCTTTCTTTCTTCCTTGCCAGCAGCATTCAATGATTTTCCTTCCCCTCCCCGCAGGCGTGCTGGCCGTGCTCATCCCCCGGCTGGACCTGGTCATCTCTCTGGTGGGCTCGGTGAGCAGCAGCGCCCTGGCCCTCATCATCCCCCCGCTGCTGGAGATCACCACCTTCTACTCCGAGGACATCAGCTTTGTCACCATTGCCAAGGACGTCCTGATCAGCATCCTGGGCCTGTTAGGGTGTATATTTGGGACCTACCAAGCCCTCTACGAGCTGACCCAACACAACTTCTATTCCAGAGTCAACTTTACCGGTGGCATCCACGTATAATTATCTATTTATATGCTACTAGACCCCCCTGTCCCCCCCATCCCCCCCATGCATTTCCATTTGGATGCTATATATACATATATATATATATACATTCATCAAACTCCAACATCTCTCTATTTTATTTTAATTTTTGTCATTTTGGCCAATCCTGAGACTTGAACTCAGGGCCTGGGCACTGTCCCTGAGCTTGTTTTGCTCAATGCTCTACCACTTGAGCCACAGCGCCACTCCTGGCTTCTTCTGTGTATGTGGTGTTAAGGAATCGAACCCAGGGCTCCATGCATGCTAGGCAAGCACTCTACCACTAAGCCACATTTCCAGCCCTGGGGCTCGGAAGGTAGCTCAGTGGTAGAGCGCTTGCCTTGCATGCCTGAGGCCCTGGGTTCGATTCCTCAGCACCACATGAGCAAAAAGGAAAAAGCTGGAAGTGGCGCTGTGGCTCAAGTGGTAGAGCGCTAGCCTTGAGCTGAAGAGCTGAGGAACAGTGCCCAGGCCCAGAGTTCAGGCCCCACGACCAGACCCAAAATAAATAAATAAATAAATACTTCCCTTATCTTTCCCAAGGAGCAGGGGGATGACACAAGAAGCCTCTCAAGTTTTCGTCTTTTTTGGATGTTTTATTGTTGGCGTTAGTCCTGGGGCTTAAAACTCAGGACCTGGACGCTGTACCTGAGCTCTTTTGCTCAAGGCCAGTGCTCTAGCCCTTCTGGTTTTCTGGTGGTTCTTTGGAGATAAGTCTCACAGGACTTTTTTTTTTTTTTTTGCCTGGGCTGGCTGTGAACCACAATCCTCAGATCTCAGCCTCCTGAGTAGCTAGGATGACAGGTGTGAGCCACCGGTGCCCATCTACCTTTTTGGATTTTAGATCTCTTTTATATCTCTGTATGAAAATCTTCAGTCATTCATGACATAAACTTCACATAGTAGAGAGGATGCTGCTGATCATAGTATCCCAGGCAGGGGATACCTGTGAATCTGTTTTCACTACGGCAGGTGCTGATGTGGCTATACTGAACCACATTTAGGAAAAGTCTTTATTGGTTCCCATCTATAATCCTGGCTACTCAGGAGGCTGAGATCTGAGGATCGTGGTTCAAGCCAGCCTGGGCAGGAAAATCCATGGGACTCTCATCTCCAATGAACCACCAAAAAGCTGGAAGAGTCTGCCCAATGGCAGAGCACTACCCTTAAGCAAAAAAGCCAAGCAAGGCCGGGCATTGGTGGCTCACGCCTGTAATCCTAGCCACTCAGGAGGCTGAAATCTGAGGATCATGGTTCCAAAGCCAGCCTAAGCAGGAAAGTCTGTGAGACTCTTATCTCCAATTAACTACCAGAAAACTGGAAGGAGCGCTGTGGCTCAAGTGGTAGAGCACTTGTCCTGAGCTGAAGAGCTCAGGGACAGCGCCTTGGCCCAGAGTTCAAGCCCTATGATCAACAACAACAACAACAAAAGCCAAGCAAAAGCACAGGGCCCTGAGTTCAAGCCCCAGTGCTGGTACACACACACACACACACACACACACACACACACACACATATATGAATACATATGAGGGAGAAGGAGGAATTTTCTATGCTAAGTGGAAGAATCACAGGCATACAGGTAGAAAAGTTAAATCCAGCCACTGGCTCAACCTGTGACTTTTCTAGAAGCTCCAGGGCAAAGACCCCCCAAGATCTTCCTTCAGTCTTGGTTACTCAGTGAAATGAATGACTAGGCTACTTGTTCATTAAAACCTTTTTCAATACGCAGAAAATTGTTCAAAAAGTGTGATTTGTCCTGCAAACTCGTATAAAAATCATTTTTCAATCAACAACCCATTGCCCTGAAGATATGAGTCGGTAAGAGATAAGTGTATTTCTTCACAGTCTCGTTATATATCTGTCTTTAGGTAAAATTTACACTCCTGTTCATTTCCCAGACAGCCGGTTCTAGTGGCTCATGCCTGTAATCCTAGCTAGTCAAAAGGCTGAGATCTGAGGATCGCGGTTCAAAGCCAGCCCGGGCAGGAATGTCCGTGAGACTCTTACCTCCAATGAACCACCAGAAAACCGGAAGTGGCGCTGTAGCTCAAGTGGCAGAGCACTAGCCTTAAGCTGAAAAGCTCAGAGACAGCGACCAGGCCGAGAGTTCGAGCCTCATGACCACCATCACCACCACCCACAAAAAGATTTCCTGTGTGAATGAGGAGATTCAGGATGAATGAGAACTAGAAATGTCACCGGCTGAAGGACCCAGGGACGTGACACATAGGTTGTTGAAGTCCTGCTGTTACAAAGCTGTGGTGATGGCTCCAGAGAAGCAGAGGTAAGAGCAGCGTATGAACAAGAGCAGAGCTGTGTCCTAGCAATGTCTTCCCATCCCCGGTACCTCTCCCAAGACGTTCCCCCTTCACACAAAGGAGCAGGAGACTCAGCAAGTTAGAAAGATTTATTGCCATGTGAGATCTCAAAAAGGGAGGCTGGTTTGGGGGAGAAGGGGGTGGTGGACAAATCCAGGAACCCTGACATCACATCCATCCTCTAAAGTGGGATCCTCCTTGCACAAAACAGCTGCTGGGGAGCCCTCCCTTCAGCAACCATTCCTTTTTTGTTTTGTCCCCGGGGCTTAGAGGCTGCAGAGCTTGAAGCTCTGAGAAAGCCATCTAAGCTTTCTCTTTGGGGCTGGATGCTATAGATTTGGTGCCTGTGGAGGGAGAATTCATGCCAGAGAAGTTGTACGAGACTAAAAAGACAAAGCCTACCAGAGGTCATAAGCTGGACACCCATGAGCCAGATTTCTTTCCCCTAAGAAGGTCACACAGCCTTTTTGACCTGCCCTAAGTGTACAAAAAAGTGATAATAGTAATTGCCAATTTTTTTTAAAAAGTCTAAGATTTCATATCAAAAATGTGGAAAGTTGGCCTTCCTATAGGAAAAAAAATTGTGTTTGAGGACAACTTTGTTATTCTCAAAATGGCAGCCACTGGGCCTGCTCAAAGCAGGAAGGACAGACAGACTGGACACACCCTGAGAAATCACATCCTCAGCTTGACACTGACCTTGAGCACTGGGCCCAGGGCCCAGGTGACTTTTTATATTATTTATCTGGGGATAAGGTGAGGGATATTTATCCTGGCCATGAATACCAAGGAGTATTCAGCACAAAAGAGCAAGTGGAGACTGGAGGTCGGAGGCTGGAATCAGGTTCTAGAGGCCCTGACTTGTGTCTCTTTCCTGGTTCTATTGGCACACTTGAATTCATTTAAAAAAAAAGTGTCATTCTATAATAAATCTCGGGGCTGGGAAGGTGGCTCAGTGGTAGAGCGCTTGCCTTGCATGCATGAGGCCCTGGTTCAATTCCTCAGCACCACATAAGCAGAAAAAGCTGGAAGTGGCTTAAGTGGTAGAGCGCTAGCCTTGAGCTGAAGAACTGAGGGACAGCGCTCAGGCCCACAGTTCAAGCCCCACGACTGACAAAAAATAATAATATAAAATAAATCTCACACAAGAGCCAACACCAGTGTCTAGTCTGTCTCTCCAGGTGCACCTGAGTGGATGTGAGGTAAAATTAGAAAAGAATACAAATTTAATCACACAACAGTTTTTTGCTGGTACTGGGGCTTGAACTCAGGGTCTGGGCGCTGTCCCTGAGCTGATTTTGCTTGAGACTAGTGCTCTACCACTTGAGCCACAGCACCACGTCTGGGTTTTTTGGTAGTTAATTGGAGATGAGAGCCATCTGGACTTTTCCTGTTGGCTTCAAACTGTGATCCTCAGATCTCAGCCTCCTGAGGAGCTAAAGTTCCAGGCATGAGCTTGGAATAGAGCTTTTTTAAAAAAATCATATTTTTTTCACTCCAAGCCTAGAGCTCTACCACGTGAACCACACCTCCACTTCTGGCTTGTTGCTGGTTCATGGGAGAGTCTCCCCAAGTTTTCCTAGTTTTGAACCTCGATCTGCAGATCTCAGCCTCCTGTGGAGCTAAGGACTTAAGAGCTAGAGCCACCAGCACCAGGTTGGGGGGGGGGGGGGGCCAAGGGAGGAGAGAATAATACTTTTAAGAGGCTGTGAACAAAGGAACAAAGTCACAAGGTATTTTTAGGAAGCCAAGATAGGGATCATGGTGAAGTTAAAATCCCCAACCTTTTGGATTCCTGGTCCTTGACGGTTTGAGAAATAAAAGAAGTTCTTAAGAGAGAAGTACAGGGGCTGGGAAGGTGGCTCAGCGGTAGAGCGCTTGCCTCGCATGCGTGAGGCCCTGGGTTCGATTCCTCAGTACCACATATACAGAAAAAAATCTGGAAGTGGCGCTGTAGCTCAAGTGGTAGAGTACTAGCCTTGAGCAAAAGCTCAGGGACAGTGCCCAGGCCCTGAGTTCAAACCTCAGGACTGGCAGAAAAAAGGGAAAGAGAGAGAGAGAGAGAGAGAGCGCACAAGTCCATGGTATGAGGGGCCATGGGGGAAAGTGACAGGCAGATCAGATGTCTCCAGAGGTCCTCAAAAATGCCACACCCTTCCTGTGGCCAGGGCCCTGGCCTCGACTGTGGATGTTAAGAGGCAGGAAGAGGGGGAATACCAAACGGGGAGCACCGGGTTCAGCACCCCTTCCTTCCTGTGGTGGCGGGCGCCATGTTATTTGCCCCTTAGGGACACGGCGATCTTGATGCAGGCCAGACGCTCCCCTCTGCTGCTCAGGATGCTCTGTACCCGGTAGTTCCCCGTACTGAGCCAGCTGGGCAGCTCCAGGTCGGGCAGCGTGAAATCAGAGGAAGGCAGCGAGTAGGTACCCTGTATAAAAATGGGTGTGAGGTCAAGGGGAGAGGGTGGAGGAGAGTCTCCTGAAACCAACCCCGTAGATCTCCAGTGGGTCCTCAGATTCTCTAAGGACCACAAAGGTGAACGGCCATAGCTAAAGGTCCAAGTTCAACATGCCCATTTTACAGATGGCTAAGTTGAGGCACACAGAGATCTATCAGCAGACCCTCTCTCCACACCCTTCTGGCCCTTTGGACTCTCTTAACTACATCTTTCCTAAGCATTTACTCTTTTTTGGGGGGGGGGTGAAGGGTGTTGGTCATGGGGCTTGAACTCTGGGCCTGGGCATTGTGGTCCCTGTGCTCTTCAGCTCAAGCCGAGTGCTCTACCACTTGAGCCACAGCACCACTTTCGGTTTTCTGATCATTTATTGGAGATGAGTCTCACGGACTTTCCTGCCCAGGTTGGCTTTGAACTGCGATCCTCAGATCTCAACCTCCTGAGTAGCTAGGATTACAGGCGTGAGCCACCAGCGCCCAGCAGTACTTACTTTTTGTTGTTATTGGTGGTGGTGGTAGTTGTGGGGCTTGAACTCAAGCCCTGGGCACTGTCCCTGAGCTTTTCTGCTCAAGGCTAGCACTCTACCACTTTGAGCTACAGCACTACTTCTGGTTTGCTGATGGTTTATTGGAGATAGGAGTCTCACGGACTTTCCTGCCCAGGCTGGCTTTGAACCACGATTACTCAGATCTCAGCCTCCTGAGTAGCTAAGATTGCAGGCCAGGGCCTGGCTAGTACTTACTTCTTTAAAGGGACAGTGGCAGGGAAGGCCGTAGGTGTACAGGGGCTCTGGGCAGGTTTGTCCTGGGGGGATGTAATTATCAAGCATTTCGCAGACATTCTCATAAGTACAGCTGCCCAGCTGCTCCACACAGGGGATCTTCACCCAGAAACCGGCCACTTCCTTCTCCACGGTCAATTCCACCTGGGAAGAAAAGATTTGGTGAGGAAGGAGTTAAAAAAAAAAGTTAAGGTACTCTTTCTTTCTTTCTTTTCTTATTTGTTGTTTTATGCCAGTCCTGGGGCTTGAACTCAGGGCCTGGGCACTGTCCCTGAGCTGCTCATGCTCCAGGCCAGCACTCTACCAGTTGAGCCACAGTGCCACTTCTGGCCTTTTCTGCACTTGTGGTACTAAGGAGCAAACCCAGAGCTTCATGCATGCTAGGCAAGCACTCTACCATTGAGCCACTTTCCCAGCCCCACCTCCACTTTCTCCCACACCCCTCCCCATTCCAGGCACTCCTCTTTAAAAAGGCCAGCAGCAATCAAGTTGCCAGTATTCACAAATCTGATCCTGAGATAACGACTTTGTAGCATAGATCTCCATATTACACTTTCCCTTGCCCCTGGCAGGCATTAGTAATCAAATGTGGAGTTCCTCTCCTCTCTCAGAACCATCCACAATCTTACAAGCCTTCCAGTTATCACCATCCACCAATCAGAAATTAACACATGTGGGCTGGGAATGTGGCTTAATGATAGAGTGCTTGCTTAGCACGCATGAAGCCCTGGGTTCGATTCCTCAGTACCACATAACACAGAAAAGGCCAGAAATGGCGCTGTGACTCAAGTGGTAGAGAGCACTAGCCTTGAGCAAAAGAAACTCAGGGACAGTGTCCAGGCCCTAAGTTCAAGCCCCAGAACTGGCCAAAAAAAAAAGAAAAGAAAAGAAAAATTAACACATGTGCTGAAAAAACTAACTGGCTAACTGTAGCACTGTTTACTGAGTTTCTCCCCAAGCCTGCCCACTAGTACTAGATTTGAATTCAGGGCCTTAGGCTACCACTTGAACCACAGTCCCATTCTGGTTTTTATTGTTATTGTTATTGTTATTAGGCTTTAGTTATTTTTATTTTTTTTTTGGTAGGTCATGAGGCCTGAACTCTGGGCCTGGGTGCTGTCCCTCAGCTCTTCAGCTCAAGGCTAGCACTCTACCACTTGAGCCACAGCACCACTTCCGGCTTTTTCTGCTTATGTGGTGCTGAGGAATCGAACCCAGGACCTCATGCATGCAAGGCAAGCGCTCTACCACTGAGCCACCTTCCCAGCCCTGCTTTATTTTTTCAGATAGGTTCTTTTGCGTTGTTTTGTTTTGGGCGTAAGAGCAGGGGGAAAAGGGGGGAGTTAACCAGTCCTGGGGCTTGAACTCAGGGCCTGGGCACCTGTCCCTGAGCTTTTGTGCTCAAGGCTAATGCTCTATCACTTGGAATCACAGCTCCACTTCTGGTTTTCTGGTGCTTAATTGGAGATAAGAGTCCCACAGACTTCCCTGGTGGGGCTAACTTTGAACCACGATCCTCAGATCTCAGCCTCCTGAGAAGCTAGGATTACAGGCGTGAGCTACCAGCACCCAGCTGGTAAAGGCTATTTAAATGCTGCTCAGAAGCCAGGAAGAGCAGTTTCACCTGCTTTTAGCTCTAGAGCAGCTGCACAGCATGGGCATTCTAGAAACACCATGGCCAGGCACATGCCCAGCGTGGGCTGGCATTGGCACCCAGGAATCCACAAAGGGGGCCCAGGAAACAGTGTTCACACAACACAGGCAGACAAACAAGCCAGTGTCCCTTCGGCCTCTGATCTGGGGTAAATTCTGTCCTGGCGCCTGGATTGGAGGGCACCGAGCTTGGCTAGCAACCCTACCATTGAGTACCAAGTAAATGAAGGCAGTGGCCCAGCCCAGATACAGAGCATTGCTGCATAGACCCGACTTCCGTCTGCATCCACAGACCCAGCTAACAGGGACTGTCCCGTGGGAATCACTAATTAACTTAGTGATTGCTCAAGATTCCCAAGAGGCAAGAGCTGTGATTGGGTCAAGTCTAGGCTTGTCCCAGAGACAGGTTCCCAATCTAGAATTTATTTTATTTTATTTTATTTTTTGGTCAGTCGTGGGGCTTGAATTCTAGGCCTGGGAGCTGTCTCTGAGCTCTTCAGCTCTAGGCTAGCACTCTACCAACTGAGCCACAGCACCACTTCTGGCCTTTTTCTTTATGTGGTGCTGAGGAATCGAACCCAGGACCTCATGCATGCCAAGGCAAGCACACTACCACTGAGCCACCTTCCCAGCCCCTAGAATTTATTTCTTCAGTTAACTTCTTTTGTTGCCAGTTCTGGGGCTTGAACTCAGGGCCTAGACCCTGACCCTGAGCTTTTGTGTTCAAGGCTAGCGCTCTAGCACTTGGAGTCACAGCTCCACTTCTGGATTTTGGGGATTTGTTAGAGATAAAAGAGTCTCATGGACTTTTCTTGCTCCAGGAAGCTTTGAACCATGATCCCCAGATCTCAGGCTCCTGAGTAGCTAGGATTACAGGTGTGAGTTACCTATACCCACCCCAAATCTAGAAGCTTTAAAAAAAAATAATTACCAGGCACTGGAGGCTCATGCCTGTAATCCACGCTACTCAGGAGGCTGAGATCTCAGGATTGTGGTGCAAGCCAGCCCAAGCAAGAAAGTCTGTGAGATTCTTCAATTAACCACCAGAAAACCAGAAGTGGCTCTGTGGCTCAAGTGGTAGAGCACTCACCTTGAGCTGAAGAGCTCAGGGACAGTGACCAGGCCCAGAGTTCAAGCCCCACGACCAACAAAAAGAAAGAAAGAAAGAAAAACTCAAGACAAAACTAGTTTTAAGATTGCTGAGGCCAGAACTATTCTGTAGAACATAGAAGAACATACTAGAAAAGTGGTGATTCTTCCTAGAGAGTAAATGACTCCAATAAATGGATTTTCTACTGGGGTAGAAGAGATCAGGAAGATCACAGTTCAAAGCCAGCCCAGGCAAAACGTGAGTAAAACAGTGTCCTCCCCCCACCCCCATCTCAACAAACAAGCCAAGTACGGTGGTGCCTCTCTGTAAACTCCAGAGGTGTAGGTAAAAAGATCATAGTCCGTGGCCAGTTCCAGGCAGATGTGTGAGACCCTTGTCTGAAAAATAACTCCAACACAAGAGGGCTGGAGGCCAGTAGGGCCAGTATGAGGCCCTGAGTTCAAGCCCCAGTACCACCACCAACACCTAAACAAAAACTGCCACCCATCGTGGTCACTGAGCCTTCCCCCCCACCCCCCCACCTCTACCCCTAATTCACTACCCCGTGCTCACCTTTTGAGGGGAGCTGAGGGGGACTTGGGTCTTCCCCTGGACGCTCACGGTCACGTTTCCAGGAACAACGATGGGGTCCGGTTCCAGCGTGAGGCTCTGAATCACTGCAGGGTCCTTCCATTTGTCACAATTGTCCCACGAAAAGCTGCCTAGCTTGGAGAGCTAGACGGTCAGGAAAAAGGAGGAGAGGCGTTGACCATCGAGGATCATCTCAGAAAGAAATGAGCTGGAAACAAAGCTACACAGAGAATGTCCAGGCCCTGAGTTCAAGGCTACAGAGCTCTACCACTGGAACCACAGCACCACTTCTGGCTTTTGGGTGGTTCACTGGAGATAATCAGATCTCAGCTTCCGGAGATTACAGGCGTGAGCCACCACACCCAGCCCTGCATCTTAAGCGGAGGTATTCACGAGTTGCTGCCAGGGTGGTAAGCGTGCACGTTAATGCTCATGACACCGTCCTACAGACAAAACATGAGCTGGCCCAGTAAATCACGGCCATGAGGCACGCCACCTCCGCTTCCTGCCATTCGTTCCAGAAGATTCTTTATATACCTGGCAGACCTTCCCTGTCCTGGAGCTTCCTGAAATGGGTCTCCATTCCATGGAATGAAAGGTCATGTTAATGACTAAGAAAGACAGGTCCTGGGTAGGTTACCAACCAAGGTTTCCTACAGTGTTCACTCCACAAATATTTATGAAGCAATGATTGCTGGCCCTAGGCTCCTAGATATAAACAATGAGATCTGGTCCCTGCCCCACCTAGTGGGGTTTACGGTCTACTGTAAATAAATCAGTGGCTTAGAGGAAATGAATTAGAAGCTAGGGAAGTGGCTCATCCAGCAGACTCCCAGTGTGTAAGCAGAGAGCATATGCAAAGGTCCTGAGGCAGAAGACTGGGTGGCCAATAGGCTAGATATGCTGTATGAGGGATGGAAGGGTGGCCGGGGCATTTAATGCCTGATGTCACTGGTGATGGTAACCAGGAGGTTGAATTGCCTGTGGGGTAATGGAATACCATGGAAAGAAAGCGTTTTACTCTGCTTTATGGTTTTGGGTGGACGAGAAGGAGGCAAAGTCTGGATCTAGGGGCCGCACATCACAGTAAATGAATGACTGGAAGCCAGGCACTGGTGGCTCACACCTGTCATCCTGGCTATTCAGGAAGCTGAGATCTGAGGATCGAGGTTCTAAGCCAGCCCAGGGCAGGAAAGTTGCTGAGACTCTTATCTCCAATGAACCACTAGAAAACTAGACTTGGCGCTTTGGCTCAAAGTGGTAGCACACTAGCCTTGAGCAAAAAAAGCTCAGAGATAGTACCCAGACCCTGAGTGACCGACCAAAAACAAAAAAAACACTGGAGCAGAATCGGGTACCACTGTCGACCTCGCTACTCAAGAAGCTAAGTTCTGAAGATCACAGTTCAAAGCCAGCCCAGGCAGACAGATCTGATCTTCTCCAGCTAATCCCCAAAAGGTCGGAAGGGATTAAACACAGCCTAGAGTGAAATGCTAAGCAAAATCATAAGACCCTGAGATCGAGCCTCAGCACCAGCACAGAGAGGTGAGCTGAAGGTGTAAGGTAAGAGAACTTCTCCCAATTCTAAAGCACCCTGATTCACACTGTAGGGTTGACTCTGGGCTCAGGGAAGTTTCTAGAATACACTTCATTGGTTTCCCACTGCTGGGGGTACCAGGCCTGGCACAAAGCATTAGCCATCCCTGCAAAGAGCAAAGGCCTCAGGAAACAGAAACTCGGTACAAATCACAGGCCTGGGTTAAAAATCCTACCACATCTGAGACTGCAAATACCTTACCCCCCTCCCCTCCCTTCCATTTCCTCACCCATGAAAGGGGTGTAATTACATGTGTGGAAGGGCTAGCCCGAGGGTATGAAGTTTGCTGGTAGAAAGCCCAAGGTTTACACCTGTAATCCTAGCTACTCAGGAGGCTGAGACTTGAGGATCACAATTCAAGGCCAGCCTGGGCAGGAGAAAAGTCTGTGAGACTCTTTATCTCCAATGAACCAAAGTGGTCCCTTCAGCCATAGCCCTGAAACTGAAAGAAGACATTAATGGGGAACTCATGGGGCTTGAACTCAGGGCCTGGGTATATGTGCTGAGTTTCTTTTTTGCTCAAGGCTAATGCTCTTCCACTTGAGCCTTAGTGACACTTCCATCTTTTGTTTTTGTTTTTGTTTGTGGGGGGAGAGGGTGTAGTTAAAAGAGGGTGTAGTTGGAGTAAGTCTCACGGATTTTCCTGACCAGGCTGGCTTCAAACCATTATCCTCAGATCTCCGCCCCATGAGTAGCTAGGATGACAGTAAGTCACCTGCATCCAGCTGATTTCATAGTTTTAACAAATATACATCAATCAAACCAGACACTAATGAAGGCAACTCAGTGAGGAACCAGATTTCCAAGAGGAACTGCATCTTGGTAGCTTTGCTGCACATCTAAAATGATTACAAAATTAAAAGCTTACTTTCAAAGAAACAAAGCCAGTGACTCAAACCTACAGTCCTAGCTACTCAAACTGAGATCTGAAAATGGAAGTTAGAAACCAGCCTGGTCAGGAGAACCGTTAGGACTTCCATCTCCAATTAACCACCAAAAAGTGGAAGTGGTGCTAAGTGATAGAGGGTCACCTTTGAGCGAAAGAGCTAAGGGACAGTGTCCAGACCTTGAAACCAAGCCCCAGGCCCAGCACACAAACAGAAACAAACAAAACTCACAAGATCTAAGCACCTACTTTGCATACTGCAAAGATCTAAGCACCTACTACTACCACTACCTAGCTATCTACTACTCTACCCAGCGGTCCAACATCTGGCCCAGCTCAGTCACGGAGGAGGAAGTGAAATTCAGTGAAACTAAAACATTGGCTCACCCCACTACCTCCCCTACGTCCCCACCCCACCCTCAACCCTGCAGGAAAGAAGATAACAGATAAAGATCAGCCTTGGGCTGGGGTGAAAGCTGAAGGACTAGCCCCGAGATCTTGGATAAGATGGAAGGACTCTGCTGTCTCAGACCTTCCAATCTGGGAAGGCTGCAGTAGCCAATGCATGCAGGCCACCCAAGAGACGTGAACAGAACCTCTAAGCACGCACGTGCACGCGCGTGCGCACGCGCACACACACACACACACACACACACACACACACACACGGACAAGGGGCTTTGCCTCTGGCAAATGAGGCCAAAAGGTCTACAGTCCAACAATTCAATGGACAAGACAGGCTTCCCACCCCCTGGTGGGGGGGGGGGGGAGGGAGGGCGGGCAGGTGAGGTCAAAGCCATAGGCTGACATCACTGATTTTGTTCGAGATTTTTGTTTTTGGAGCTTTCTCCTTTCTGCACAGACCATTGCACTTGGATCACCTGCCAGAACTTTTCTTTTCTCCCTGGGTGGGGCTTGCAGCCTGGAATGAAGGAGATCTGCAAGGAACAAGCTTGGAAAATGGGGGAGGAGGGGAGGGAAGCAAGGGGGGGGGGGCTGGACATTTGTTAACCAGATGGGCAAGTGTGCACCCTTTGACCTAAATGGGGCTCTCACAACCCCCCCACCCCCGAATTGCTCAGAGCTTTCAGGTCAGAAAAAAAAATAATTAACTACAAAACATATGTAAAGATGGGGTGCTAAGCCTCTGACTTAGAGGTGGGATGGGGGGGTGCAGGGATCAGGGTGAGCTGGGCTGCTGCGGGCAGATCGAGCTCTCTGCAGAAGCAACCCTCCAGAACACAGCGATGAACCCCCCTGCATCCCTTCCTCCACGACCCACCCCCACCCCGCACCCCGATATGGGAGGAGGTCGGGGAGCTTGCAGGACGGCCTCGCCAGGCCGGGGTCACTCACCTGGTTGGAGCCGAGGCGCGCCGGGGTGGCGGGGCCGGCGAGGAGCAAGCCCAGGACGGCCGCCAGGAGCGGGGTGGGCGGCATCGGGGGGCGCATCGCGGCGGGGAGGTGCGCCCGGAGTTGGCTCTGGGCACCTGGGCCCCGGCGCCTTTAAGAACCGGCCGGGATTGTTTATGCAAAAAGGGTCGTCGCGATGCAAATCGCAGGGCAGCCATTGGCCAGCGCGCTGCGCCGAGCTCCACCCCACCCGGGGCGGGGCCGGGGGGGGAGGGAGTAGGAGCGGTCTTCGCTGAATCCGTTCCCCGGATCTTCCTGCGTGCCACCCCCCTCCTCCTTCCCAGCGCGGACGTCAACAACCTCTTTCTCTCTCTGCCAGGAAAACGAAACTAGAGGAGAAGGGGAGCCGAGTGTGAGGGACCAAATGGCGCTTAGCACGAGGGAGGGGCGGGGCCGAGGGCAGGCGGGGGCGGGGCTACTAGTGCGAGAGAGGCGGGGCAAAGCACGGTGGTGGGGCGGGGCCTACCGATTGGGGCGGGGCCGGGCGCTGTGAGAGGCGGGGCCTGGCGCTGCGAGGAGGGGAAGGGGGATGGAGAGGCGGGCTAAGAGCCAGAGCGACCCGATTGGATGGGAAGGGGGCGTGGCTCGGTGGGGCGTGGCTTGTCCAGGGGCGGGGCCGAGTGCCAGGGAACCGCGAAGCTGTGATTTCCGAATTCTTGCTGGTGACTGTCACCGCCCGATGGTACTTGGGGAGCCCAGATGTAGCTTTTCAACCCCAAGCCCTTCGCAAAAACGTCATACTCTCCAGCAGTATGCGTCCCCATTCCTGGGTGACGAGTCACTCTGACTTTTTTCAAGCCATCATAATAACGAGGTTTAGTTCAGCGCTGTAGGGCGTTGCTGGGAACGTTTGAGAGAATCGTGTTCTTTGCACGGAGGAAACCCATTGGCGGTGAGGTTTTGGCTTTGCCACGGTGACACACACACAGCCCGGAAGCGATGGGGGAGCTTATGTACACCCTTGCCCAAGAGCTTGGTAGGTTGCTGGGAAAAGATGTATTTATAGATACATATGTATTTATTTATACATATATATATATATATATATATTCCCATGGAGTGGAGTTTACCACTCAATTGTCAACTCCACAGGAGTCACTGATGAAGACCCCAATGCATGACAAATAATATTTTGTGGAGCCTGGTACTGGTGGCTCACATCTGTAATCCTAGCTACTCAGAAGGCTGAGATCTGAGGATTATAATTTAAAGCCAGGCAAGACAGAAAAGTCCTATCTCCAATTTACTACCAAAACCCTGGAAGTGGAGCAGTGGCTCAAGTGGTAGAGTGCTAATCTTGAAAGAAAAAAAAAAAGCTAAAGGATAGTGCCCAGGCCTTGATCTCAAGTCCCAGTACCAGCAAAAAATAACATGAAAATAAAATGTTTAAGAAGATGGAAGGAGCTGGGTGCAGGTGGCTCACACCTAAAATCTTAGCTACTCAGGAGGCTGAGATCTGAGGATCAGGGTTCAAAGCCAGCCCAGTCAGGAAATGCCATGAGACTCTTATTTCCAATTAACCACCAGAAAACCAGAAGCAGAGCTATGGCTCAAAGTGGTAGAATGCTAGCCTTGAATGTAAGAGCTCAGGGAAAGTGTCCAGGCCCTGAGTTCAAGCCCCATAACCGGAAAAGAAGAAGGAGAAGGAGAAGAAGGAATAGGAGGAGGAGGAGGAAGGAGGAGGAAGAAGGAGGAGGAGGAGGAAGGAAGAGGAGATAGAAGGAGGAAAGGGACACAGAGAGGCATGTTCACCATGGGGTAACTTTAAGTCTGTTGGCCTCACCTTCCTCATTTACCAAACAAGGATTTAAAATGATGATGATGATAGCGGTGGTGATGGTGGTGATGATGATGATGATGATGATGAACAAAGGAATCCTGTAGGGAGCTTCTTTTAAAATAAATAAATAAATAAGCATAAGCTCCAAGCCAGTGGCCAGTGGCTCGTGCCTATAAACCTAGCTACTCAGGAGGCAAAGATCAGCACGTGGTAGGACCCAACCAATGCAGTGTTACTTTTCGGATCAGCTTATTGTCATAGGGACAACCAATCAGCTCACAGCCTATCATATGAGACCCTCTAGACTCACAGCCACGTGGGGAAGAGAAGACAGGGAGACAAGAACACAGCCTGAGCAGCTTCTTGTGTGGGGGCTTCCTTCCTGGAGTTATGGAGATGAGCACCGGAGGGAGGCTCAGCAGGGCTGGCAGTGGAGCTGTGACACTGGCAGATGCTGTCTGCCGCTGAGCTCCAAGGTGAAGGAGGAATGGCCTGCTACAGAGCTTCCACCCTAATGGCCTGTGCTAGCTGCAAGTGATGCCAGTACGTTGTGGGAGCTCTGCCCACCGAAGCAACATGAGAATGGTCTTTATATACCCGAGCCCCAGTAGCTCACGCCTGTAATCCTAACACTCAGGAGGCTGAGATCTGAGGATCGCTATTCAGAAGCCAGCCCAGGCCGAAACTCCATGAGACTCTTATCTCCAGTGAACCACCCAAAAACAGAATATGGGGCCGTGATTCAAAGTGGTGGTACACTAGCCTTGAGCAAAATTGCTCAGGGACAGTACCCAGGCCCTGAGTTCAAGCTTCACAATCAACAAAAAATAAAATAAAGAGGAAAAAAGAATCGCTATTGTTCTTTATTGACACAATATTATTCTTAAGACAGCCTTGTTATTAGCAATGTGGAGAGTTAGGTTTACCGGGAATCAGGCCATTAAAATGTGACCTCAGAAAAACTTTTAGGTGGTTTTTCAATATTTAACTTAATCACATGTACGCATCCACTTTTCATAAGTTCTCATGCTCATATATTTAAGACCTACTTATATATTCTGCATCATTGTATTTGAGCCTTTTGATTCCTGTCTCAGCCTGTTTTTTTTTCTTCTACTTGGGAACAAAGCTGTAAGACAAAGTTTAGTCTACAAATTTCCTTCCTGTACATAAATATTTCTGTTTTATTTTTCTGAAAACATATCCCCAGTGCCTTCCTCTATTCCTTTCCTACTTGCTAATCCTCTTTGTTTCTAACTTGTATCTTTTTTTTGTCAGTCTTGGGGCTTGAACTCAGGTCCTGGACACTGTCCCTGAGCTTCTTTTGCTCAAGGCTAGCACTCTACCACTGGAGCCACAGCACCGCTTCCAGCTTTTTATGTGTGTGTAGTACCAAGGAATCGAACCCGGGGTTTCATACATGCTAGGCAAGCACTCTACCACTGAGCCACATTCCCAGCCCCTAACTTGTATTTTGGAATAACCCCCTTATAACTTTTTTTTTTGCCTCCTAGCCCTGGGACTTGCACTCAAGGCCTGAACACTGTCCTTAAACTTCTTTTGCTCAAGGTTAACATTTTACCATTTGAGCCACAACAACACTTCTGCTTTTTGTAGTTAATTGGAAATAGGAGTTTCATGAACTTTCCTGCCCAGGCTGGCTTTGAACTCCGATCCTTAGATCTCAGCCTTTCGAGTAGTTAGGATTACAGGTGCAAGCTACCAGTGTCTACCCTCTTAGAAACTGGAATTTAGGCAAAATGGCTTCTTCTTCTAATAAAATACTCTTAGTAGCTTGCATACATTTTCAGCAAGATTTGAACTCAGGGCCTCAAGCTTGCTGGGTGAGAACTCTACTTACCGTTGAACTCTCTACTTACTCTCTTTTTGTCTGTTCGGGTTTGAGATGAAAACCTGTACAGTAGAAAAGATATGAGTCATGGTACCTGGTCTTTCATGAAGACGTGGGAAGAAAGCAATCAAACTGGTCCTCTATACAAAAACAATTTACAAAAGCACCTCTGTTAACAGACTCAGATAAAAGAAGGTTCGTTGGATCCCAATCACACACAACAGAATGCAACAGCTGAAAATTAATCTGTGGAGAGAGGACAAATGATGTCAAAGTAGATTGTTTACAGCTGCAAAAATAGAACAGTGAAACCCATTAGAATTGTTAGGGGAAGAGGGAAAATGGGGAAAGGGAAAGGGAAGGTAAGACTGGAATATGCTGTAAATATGTGTAACAATGAAATCTCCCCACCCCACTCCAAGTGAGTTCTAGCCACTTTCCCCAACATGCCAAAGGAACGCTGAAAGGCAGAGGTCATTCATGGGGCTTGAACTCTGGGCCTGGGCGCTGTCCTTCAGCTCTTCAGCTCAAGGTGAGCGCTCTACCACTTGAACCACAGCACCACTTCCGGTTTTCTGAGTGGTTCATTGATAATAAGAGTCTCACAGACTTTCCTGCTCGGGCTGGCTTTGAACCATGATCCTCAGATTTCAGCCTCCTGAGTAGGCAGGATTACAGGTGTAAGCCACCAACACCCAACTAGTAGATTTATTATATGGCACAGGTATGCCATGGAAAGAAGGCCTTTGGTCCATCCTCAGCCATCCTTTGGGGGCGCAGACATTTGCCTTAACTTAAACAGGGAGAATTGGGGGGCCACAAGGGCTGAGAAGGTTTGCACAATTCGAATCATTCCCAAGTCACAAACACAGTGTTTAAGAGGTAACCTGAAAGCCAGGCTGACAGGTAGCTCACGCCTGTAATCCCAGCTAACTCAGGAGGCTGAGATCTGAAGATCACAGTTCAAAGCCAGACCGGGCAGGAAAGTCCATGAGACTCTTATCTCCAATGAACTACCAGAAAACTGGAAGTGGTGCTGTGGCTTAAGAGGTAGAGCGCTCGCCTTGAGCTGAAGAGCTGAGGAACAGCGCCCAGGCCCAGAGTTCAAGCCCCATGACTGACAAAAAAGTCAGTGATATCTGACAGGTATCTGCTTTCCTGTTGGGGTGGGGGGAGAGGGGAGGAGGGGACACACACTTCTGTCTGGCTTCTAAGATGCTACAAAATATCTGCACGAGAGAATGGCCCAAGGTACAAAATAGACAAGGCTTCAAGGCCTGGTCTTTATCCAGCTCTCTGAATTCCTGGACCCAAGTCAGGAGTAGCTTATAAATACTGCTTCTATCTCACATCGATGTGAAGTAGATGGGCGTTATAAAATGTTATTTGCGGGGCTGGGAAGATGGCTCAGTGGTAGAGCGCTTGCCTTGCATGCCTGAGGCCCTGGGTT